ACACACACACACACTGAGTGGGTACCTTGATGAACAGCAGGATGTTGAGCACCTTGGTCTCCCTCTTGCCGTTCTTCTCCCTCAGCACCAGCACGTCCAGCAGACTGCCTCCCACTCTCTGTCCCAGCTCCGACAGACGAGCCTGCAGCTCGGTCACAGAGTACACGCGGCTCTGGCAGTACTGCACCACCTCCGAGAACAGCAGGGCGAACACGCTCACACTCACCTCGGTCTTAGGGCGGCTCAGGGGCCGCTCCAGAATAGCAGACTTGCCTCTGGTGAAGCGAGTCTCCATTGTGACTTCAACAGACGGCTGTGAGAGAAAAGTCACGTTAAACACGAGCCGCTGCGCTTCAGGCTAAAGCTGCTAATGCTAACAACACAGGAGTGCTGCAGAGAGGAGCGCAGACACAGAATGACACGCACGAATATAAAAAGGTGACCCAAAGACAGGAATATTGTTCACTTCAGCGTTCTCTAAAACACCGTCAAACTACATCAGGACTAACTCAATCCTTTACTCCACCTGGGTTTGTTGTCGTTTGGTTACTTCCTGGGTGTCGACGTCACTGTGTCACGTGACACCACTGATTGATTCAGGTTTCTTTTCCAAATAATAGTAATGATGCTGATGATAAGAATAAGAATAAAGCAGCTGGCCTCAAGGCAGAAACAGAGGGCGTTATCATCGCAGGAGATCAAAGCCTCCCAACACAACATCCTCAGGAAGCCTGATGTGGACCCAAAATACAGACCACCTGGTGTCTGGCTGCCCTGAACTGGCTAAAACTGAATACATTCACCGCCACAACAAGGCAGCTGCACACATGCACTGGAAGATCTGCAAAGATTTTGTCATTGAGGTGAAGGAGCGATGATATGAGCATGAACCCAAGACCATCACAGAGAATGACAGCATCACTATTCCGTGGAACATGCCCATCCACACTGACAGGACCATAGCAGCTAAAAGGCCGGACATTGTGCTCAAGAACAAGAAGGACAAAACCTGCCTTCTCATTGACATGACTGTACCCCTCGACACCAACACCTCAGTCAAAACCACTGAAAAGCTTC